TTTGTTAACCCAATAATGCGCAGCAAGCGTTTCACTCAGACATATGTAAATAATCATGCAATTCAGCCTTATTAGGCTGCCATGTGATTTTTAACAAAGATATCTATCTATCTAGCTATCTATCGAGAGTCACCGATGAAATAGTGATTGCTTTTAGCCAAACGCTTAACACAGTTATTTGAGAGAACAGTCTAGCGATTGTTGGAAAATTTAGGTGAGGGGATATTAGTTTACCGAGTATGAGAGAGACTTTTTCGTACTTTTTATCTTTTACATATTGTCTTGGTGCGGAGTTGCACTCTTTCTTCACGTACTTGTTGAATTTACAATACTTAATTTAATCGTCATGAAAAGAGTTGTTACCGGTGACCCTTCGACGATAAATAGATCCAAATTCGATCTAAACAATTCACGAATACAAGCAAGCGGAATTACAAATTCTTCAGTCTCCTCAGCAGGATACAGAAAGAACCGTAAACCTTTGTCCAGCAACGAGGGTAATGGACCGGTCTTATCTTGAGGAATCTTAAGAAGATGGTCCATTTTAGTCCGAAACTAACAAGACAACTTTGACTACTCTGAATCTGACGTTTGCACCACGCTTTGCCCGCACACGGGTGTTTGGAATGCGCACTAAGAAACTCGGGAAATTACCCGAGTCTCTTGTGGCTTGGCGTTAGCTACAAGAGGATCTTTTTCCCTTTTTGTACCGCGCTTTCTTTTTCATGCATAGTTTAGTAGATCTTTTTCCATCTATGGCACCTTTGTTTTTCTCTTCATTCTGCGCCTTGGAATACACTCGTCGACAGCAGATAAAAAGAAGTCGCTCCATGCTCCCCAGATACTCTCAGTGGTTTCCTCCATGTAAGCGCAGTGCCATAGTTTGTAGTATAGTAAACGCCTGACATGATCCTTGTCAGCATTCTTAAAAGAAAGGTTAATTTCTGCGATCTACAACCAGGGAACGGTTTCCTTGATAGGTGCATAGAGATCGAGTTAGTGCCGGAGTTCAAAAGGAACAACTTTCGAGGGCTTTTAGGACATTTCGATGTAGCTTTCGGAGACTCGGATGATCCTTTTTTATGACACTTGTGGCTCTCGAATAAACGCGAAATTCCGCCAAATCTTAGTTGAGATATCAAACTTACTTAAACTTACTTTACAAGAGGGTACCTAAGTCACGAAGTACTTTTGTGGAGAAAAAAATCAACCTGAATACTAATCAGTTCATATTCCATACGAATGCTAAGCGAAACGGCCGCATTTTCAAGATAAATTAGATTAAACTTATCGAAGACCAACGACTTGGATGAGCGTCTTAAATAAAGGCTGAACACCTCTTCTACAAAAGCCAGGGGGTAACTTATCGCTGAGTGGGCTGAGTTGTGTAAAAATTAGTAAAACACACAAGGCCGTTTTTGGCCATTTTCTTTATTGTTTCACGTGTTTTCAATTACGAGAATTCAAATTTAGCGCTATTGGCTGTGTCGCGGCATTCTGGGCGATGAAGTCGATTAGTGATTAGAGAAGATCAGTGATTTATTAAATCCACTCTGGACAAGGATTTATCGGATCACTGATCTGCTCGATCTGAAGGCGGAACGTTGGATCATTGATCCAACGCGTTCCTTTGGGCGAAAGATATGAAATTAGTCATTTTTCCCAGCGGTGCTAAATTTCCAAGGCTAAAAGGTACTTCATATATTGACCGGAAAGATTGTTGGCGATCGCTTCACAAATTCTGCGATAAACACGAAATACGCTCGATTTTGTTATGTTAAATCGATCGGCCACTGATTGCAGGCATTCAGGGTTCCCAAGTATCCATATCGTAATCAATACTTGCTTCTATATGTCAATGCTTGGTCTCCCCCCATTCCTTTGTCCACGAGGCAGACCTGGGCAAGTAGCTAACAGGCGTTCCAAATAGCCGACTGTAGTTCTTGACATCCGAAAATGACTTAAACAATCTGAAACACTGTAAAGTGGTTTAATACGGTGGAAATATTTCTCAATGCGGACATGGCTCTGCCTCTCCCTTATCGAAAGAAATAACAGAAATTCTTCATCGTCACAACTTCTCGCTTCTTTTAGTATTGAATCATAGGATAGTTCCGTTTTAAATTCAGCGTGCGATTCCGCTGACGCGCTCTACAATTTCGCGCCTGCTGTCATGGTAACTGATCTGATGAACTAAAGCTCCGTTCCTTTGATGCACCGTGATCTGTGTGATCTTGGATCACAAATCCTAATCCGGATCCTCCCAAAGGGACGCATCCTTATTTAGTGTATAAGGTCGAGCGATGTCACTATAACTAGGTCCAAAAGTAAGACAAAGTTTTTGCTGAATGAATTAAATAAACCTGATGAAAATGCCTGTTTATCTTGATGTGAGTAATCCACACAATTGAAGCAAAATAAGCGCAAAGCTTTTTTATTTATCGAACTTATAACAGAATTTCAAAGCACCAGAGCATTTGTACTAAAACAACTATTTGACTTCAACCAAAGCTAGAGCGAGTTGCGAACGACGCGCAAGAGAGTGAGAAAGGACTCGACAAATAAGACAGAAACACGAGGAAGAGGGAGGCGAAAAAAACCAGAAAGAACTTGGGTAAAAAGGTGAAACTCTGACTAGGAGCAACGTGAGGGGGAAAGACGAAGAGCTCTAGAAAACAGATCGCAAAAAGTTAGCAACAGAGAGAAAGGGAACTACAAAGGAGCCGAGAAAAGACGGGAAAAGGCTAGGAGGTAAGTTGAGTCTTAACTGAGTTTTTTGTTAAGCTGAGGCCCACGAAGATTCAATTTTTTATCGTCAATCGTCATTTGATACGATTTTCAGTTCATAACTCATCGTTTTGATGCGGGCAAAAAATTAAATGACTGCCGTAAAATTATTTGGAATTCGTCATTGAGAAACCTTCGCGCCGGTTCATCGCTCAAAAAACATTTTAGAGTGTTCGTATTCGCCAGATTACTTATTTTCCTATCGTTTGGAATGTTTAATTCAGTCGCGGTGTTAAGGGAAAAGAAGTTACCTCACGGATAACATTTTGGTGAAATCTGGACAAGATTATTTGCCTGGAAAGTTTTCAAATAATAGCGACCGGCGAAAGCGCGCCGAGCTAACGAGCTTCTATCATTTACTCTTCAGTTAACTACCGCAGGGTTTATTATTGATTCATTTGAAAGACTCGCGCTGTTGTCGAAGATGCGTCGTTTAATTGACCCTAAGGTTTTATCTGATGGTCTTTCCGAAAATTGAAATGTAAATGAGGTTGAGTCAGCGATGTTCATGTTTAAAAGTAAGTTTGACGCAGTAATTTGAGTTTTTAAGTGATACAAACAAACTCACTGGTTTCATAGAATTATTTCTACTGCGAGAGAATTAACTGTATTGTTTGGTGGTGGTCCTCTGTTTTCCTGCTTACTACTCGATTCGTTCGAACTGCAAGAAATGGCTTGCCTCTAAAAACATGGAGCGACTTTCTGTTCGCACAACATCTCAGTAAAACGTAAATTGATGCTTGGGTTGTGATGAACATGCTTTTGCTACGATAATTTTCCTTCTAACGTTGGAAACTGTACAATCTGCCTCTGACATTGATAGTCATTGCAGAATGTAAGAAATGTCCCAACTGTGTTCGTGCATTGAAAAGGAGTCTTTGGATTGTGCTCAGAAGCACGTTGGTAACCACAAGGTTAGCGTTTAAATGTTTGTTGTTCACAGTTTTCAAATTGAACAACTTTTTTGACATGATCTGTTTATAATTCACATAACTCCAACCTGCGTGGATAGTCCCTAAATACTTGTCCCTAAATTCCCTTGAAGCCAATGCTAAGATTTTATAAAGTGAAGGGGGCTGGAAAATAAATTATTAGAAGCTGGCTAAAGAGCTAATGGGCTAATAGCTAATCAAGCTTGGCTTGATTATGAGATCTTAATAATAGATCTCATAATCAAGGCAAGCCGTCAGTCTTACTGGAGAATTTTATCAAAGTGCTTTAAGAATCTCGGCTCTCTATTTTTTTGGAAATTTTTTGTTTAGCGCCAATGACCAAGTCATGTGCGAAGGGATGAGGGTCATGAGGGTTTAATATCTCCACTTTTTAAGACAAGAAAAAGTAAGAGAGTAAGAACAAAGCACAAAAATTAAGTGTCAAAGTATTTAGCATAAGCGAACTAGTTAGAAACTCTTTCCTATGCATTCGTCGACCCCGTTTTCGTTCCTGCCGACGCTATCTCCTCTGGGAATGAGGATAGCTCTTTCCCTTGCGCTTGCGGTTTCCGAAGTTTGCGAAAGCAAACTTCGATGATCGCTTATCAATGAAGTGAAGAATAAAGAGAAGCTTCGCAGAGTTTTTGGAGCAAATATTCAGAACTTCATGTACTAATTTGTATTTAATTGACAATGTAGTCTTGCTCTATCCCACAAGTATTGACAACACGCCATACAACGGCAAACTGGGAGCCTTAAAAGTACCCCTAAGAACTAAAAATCGTTTTCACACACACTCATGGTTAAGAGTAGTAATACCCCTATGAAAACTAGTCTTATGGAAGAAATAAAATCGAATCTACAACCTAAGATCGCCTTCAACTGGGACCAAACGCAACTGCTTGACGCTGAATCAGTAACAGTTTCCCAATGTATCACTTCCCCACGCAATTCCAGTTAAAATGTGTTAACCCGTGAGACTAATTATCACCAAACTTCTTTCGTTCACAAATTTAGGAAGTTGGCGTAATTTGTTCAGTTTCGGCGATTTGTACACCTATAAAAGCATCATCCCTATTCAGGTATCCAAAGTGCGCGAGTAACTCACCACTTCGGTCGACTTCAGTAAGCCTGCGGAAACGACTAACCATGCCTTTTCAATCAATTAAGTTTGATTGCGGTTGAAAAACCTGATCAACCCAAAGCGTTGCTTTACTTTCAATGAAATACAGAAAAATCGAACCAACCTAACACATTTAATGAGATAAACAAGAATTCTCTCCAAAAAAATCTGTTTCTTTCAAACTTTACCCATGAATCTGTCTTAGTCTAAAAGCAGTTAGAACCATCTCGGTTTTCCAAAATAATGCAAAATAAATTGTTTTGCTTCGCATATTTAGATCGATCCTATTTGAGCGTATTATGAGCGTAAAGCGTATTTAAAACTCAGAGGCGCTAAACTTGCTACCAAATTGACTAATTACTCTTTTTCGTACTCCCATATTACCATTTTTCTTCGTGCGTTCACGTCGACCATCTAAGTGTCAGACGCGCGGCAGAAAATAGTAATAGACGATAAATGTTTATACTACTGAACCTCAACTGTACTACCTACCGTGTAGTGGAAAAAATTAATGTTTTAAAGTGAAATCTACGAGCTCACGAAGAAAATCAGTCTGACCCGTGATTGTATTGGTCTGATTTACTCAGATGTAGTATCATACTTTATATGTCTCGATGGCGTAGCGAGTTTGTTTGTATTTCCATTACCCCTGTGGTGTTTTCATCAGCATTGGAGCCCTCAGAAATGACATTACCGACACGACTCCAGCTAAAGAACTGTATCAGAGTGACTCGGAACTTTGCGTTAAGCAGCACGTACAGGATCGGGTTGTAGACCACAGAAGCCTTTGCCATTATTTCAGGAACCAGAGACACAGAAGGGGAGACACTTTCGTGGCCGATTGCGGTACCGATCAGGCTGACAATGCAGTACGGAGACCAGCTTACAAAATATGCCAAAGTCATGGAAATCACCAGGCGGACGGTTTTATTTCTAGACCGTATTTGCCGCACCCTAGCATCTTCATTTGCCCCGGGCACAGAGCTGTTTCGAATGCACCTACCAATTACGGAGACTCGGTTAATCGACATTACACGTCTAATTGCGTCATTAGCAAAATGCTCGAATATGAGGATTCTAAACAGCCCTTCTTTGTGACTTAATTGGCTGTTTCAAGTCCAAACTGTCCGATTGCAAACACTTTCAATGCGACAAGCCAAATCGCAAAAAGTAGCTGATATAATTTTAAGCTCTTTAAGCCACCATCGATCAGCCATTAAAACTCAGCCAACTTTAGCCAATCAAAATTAAGACAACATCTTTAAATGTGAGCAGCTTGAGTGTCCTAATTGAAGACAAACAATCCAATGACTATTATTCAGTATCAGAAAGAAGAATAAGTGCTCTTGCTTTACATTTTTTTTCCTGACTTTCTCCCATTTTGTTATTGACACAATTAACTACATTTTTATGACATCCTGACGTTTGCATGCGTTCGGTGATACTTTGGTTCCTGTAAAGGAATTAAGGACTGAGACAAAAAAATTTATTTTTTTAGAGAAATTCTTTAAATAATGACTGCGGCAGCTTTATCATATCATCATCAATGTGAACAAAGAGCGATGCAACTGGCGCTCTCTTTTGAAATTTCCTCCCAAAAACTGCGACTGACAAGTCTCCAAAAACAAACACGCGTGTATATACGAATATCTTAGATGGAATAAATCATATCTCTGGCCCACTAAGGGGATAATAAGTGACGAATTGCTCTTTCCTAAATGAACTTCAATCAAATTCATGGTCAATCAAAATTGGACAATTGTTAAAAAGCATCTCCTGGGAAGGTGTGTATGTTGGCTTTCCTCGGTTTGAAAATGATAAGTATCCATGGTAGTTATTTCTCTTCATTGGCACAGACATACCAGCTCTTCTAAAGAAGCCATAAAACTTTCATATCATCTCAGAGAGAGCAGAGGAGTTATGTTTCCTTGACTGTGTTTTCCAGGTAAATATACAGTACAGTTTTACTCGCGAGTCCATCTTGTTGATTAACCATTATTGCTTGTGATCGCGTCACACATCTCATGGAATCCTATCCGCAAGACCAAAAGCGCTTACAGTACTCACTATAGGCTCTTCGCGCAAGTAGATGTTGGCAATAAAAAAAGGGAAAGGGTTGAAAGTATTTTTGTCATATTTAAATTCACCCCTAAAAAGTTACAATTGGAATGATACGCCTTAATTCAGATACCTTTTTGTTGAAATAATATTTCCGTCCCCTTCCTCATAAGAAATCGTCTTGAAAACTTGCGTGATTCAAAATTCGGGATTACTGTTTTAGGGGTATTGTGTATTGTATTAGTAAAAAGTAGATCGACGGATACCGATGACGGAGAGGGCGCGGTCATGCGCAGGATCGGAAGTAATCTGCACAGTTAATTATTTACAGATCATGCAAAGAATTTGGTCAGAAGTCAAAACTAAAGATAAAATGGTATTTAATTTATTTCTAATTGGCTCTGCAAGAGATTATCTCAACTACGTTGATCAACCGTCAATAGCCTTAGTACAATCAGAGAAGACTCTCGTTTGTTTTTGTCGTACGATCAGATGTTTCTTAGCTGTTTTGAGACTCAAATGGCAGACAGTTCATCTACTTTCTCTCAACATGCAGCTTAGTCGTCAAAAAAATTACTTCTGTACATATATACCTACCTACGTGTGTATTCAGACGCAAGGAAGGTACGAGGTCATCCCAAAAAGGAAAGCTCCTCTAGACAAAATCCAAGTTTCTGTGAACCACTCAACTCAAAAAATGTACCATGAAACGGTGATGAGGTAGGCAACTAAACCGTGGGAACAGTTAAAGGTTTTGGCGGAGTAATAGGAATTCAATTGTCTTATGTAAACATTGGCAGCTACATCGGCCAGTAACACTTTAGCGGAAGAAGATAATCCTGTGCTTTTCTGAGAAAAAAGAAAACTCGTTGAATTCACTGCCTCTTATCTTAAATTGCTATCAGTCAAAAACACTTATGCTTATATAAAGTGCCAACGAACTGGTTGACCAGTGAGAGCTTTAAGTTCTAAGACACACATAAACTGCTCCGTGCGCAAATCACTCTGATAGGTTAGAACGACCGAGTCACGTAAAGCTCGTTGAATCGTTTGTCTCCTTATTTTACTCTCGACACTTCGTACTTCATTCGGAAAGTTTTGCTTTGCGACCGTGTCTTGTTTGGAAAGATTCGCCTGTTGACCATTATTGAGGATAGGATTTCAAGAGACGATTTTCAAGGATTTTCAAGAGGATAGGATTTCAAGAGATTGCATGTATCAACGGTCAATCATCAAGATCAAGTCGCGTTTGAATTATATTGCCATTCAACTGGAAACGCAGTCAAGTTTAACTCCCCCGCGTTTTGTTATCATTCCGCACTAATACCTGTATATCCCTCCGTAGCTCCCAAGTATGATCACCAAAGGGATAAAGAAGCCAAACGTTACCAGATATATGATGTAAGACCTGGAGCTGAGGTCCTGGGAATACCAATCAGGATGGCAGCTTACTCGTGAAGGAATAGGAATAAATTTGTTCCAGCCCATAGCCGGAGGAATCGTCAACACAATCGCGTACAACCAGATTCCTGGTGGTAGATAAGGCAAGCCTAGAAATTATAACTATTCTGTTCGTTCCGATCAGAACTGAGGAAACACCGATATTAGAGGTCACTATAATCATTTTGACCGAGACAACACGGTCTCCTGTTATCGACAATAAAAATCAGGAAGACAGTTTGCAACATGCACGCTTTTTGCACCCCAAGACCCGGACGTTGTATTTATTTGATAATGATAAAGTGGTTATGATTTAAGCAACAAAACACACTTTCTATCGATTTATGGGCTAATAAACCACGCGGGAAGCTGGGAGAATACGAAAAGTCGCCTCGTGGTTTACAGACTTTTCTCGTGTTTCCCCAACATCCTGCGTAGTGTTTTACGCGGTTAACCGATAGAAAGTGTGGTTTATTGCATTTATGATATAAATGTGAGTGAAGTCTGTCAGAGAGAAATATGAATTTAATCTTACTTTGTGATCAAGTCGCTGATTCTCATGAAACCAATCGAGAAGTACGATAAACTAGTCAAAGCGCCGGAAACTAAATGAACTGCCAGCCAGAAGAGCGAAGAGTGTTTAACAAATCAATGGTGGTTTAGCGTGGTCTGTACCCTTATCAACACCGATTTCCTTCATCGTAGTGGTCAAAGTGCTGTGGACTCACGAGGCGCAGAGTTAAAAACCAAACAACTGAAATTATCCCTTTCGGGTAGCAAAGTAACTGCTCGGTGATGAAAACATTTTGGCAGTTGAATCAAGAGGAACGCTTTTTTCAGCTATAGAATGTCAGTGTTATGTTAGAAAGAAGCTTTCTTTGGGTTTTTTTTTCTCAATCGTAGAACAAATAGGGATCTCTTACCAGTAAGCAACAGCATCTCTGCCTTTCCTGTCATCCTGTTCTGCTGAGCGATCTCATTTCTAGAGATACCCAAGTATGTTATGATTGCCATGACAGCCAAGGTACCGATGGAGGCCAGGCCTGTGGCGGCGTTGATAAAGGCAAGCCAGTAGCAAAGGGCAGGGGCACTGCCAGTGTTTGCAAAATCTGCCGTGTTGTAGTTCACTGCCACAGTGTACCCAAACAAACACACCAGTAGGTCTGCAACACATAGGTTTACCATAAGCGGAGTCATGCTCTTGGTCCGATGTTGCGGGTGGAAAAGAACAATAAGGGTGAGGAAGTTCCCAATGAGGCCAAGGGTTAAAATGACGAACATAGTGGCGCCATAAAGTAAGTAAGATCTGTGCCCATGAGGCCCAAGTTCTTCCATTGCCTTTTCTTTTGTGTGCACGTTTTCCCACAAACAGTTCACCTTCTCCTATGAAGCCAAAATCTCTGCTTAAAAAGAACAGTTATAAAAAGTTTTAGTTAGCTATTTTAGAAACCAAGTTGCGAATAAATTTTTATCACTCTATAAGATACTGAATCTAAAGCCCTTGCGGCACATCCCTTGGTACTAAACTACACAAGAGGAAAGGAGGAGATTCTGAAGCAATTATTCTAATTAAGGCCCTATTTATGGAAAAAGTTGTTACAGATAGAAGGGTCACTCGCCCACCCGAGTCACCCGGGGCGAGCCAACTTTTACTTCATTTCCTTACAAAACTTCGCGAACCGCTTACATGAGGGATAATCGTTAGACACTTCTCTTCGTTATCTTGGGGAAAAAATTTTCCTTTATAAATCATACGTCAAATCATAAAGCTAGAGCAGAGGTGAACCCATAACGCACCTTTGGTTTTTCGCTATGGAGCAGAATGTTGTTCCCAAGATTTCTCGCAAAATTTGCCTAAATATGCGCTAAAGGAAGACACCTTGTTTAAATGCCCCCGTTAAATTTAATAGCTAACACACTCCACTGCATGCTGAGAAATCGTTTAAGGAGACGGAGGCTTTTAAAGTCTGCGAAAGAAAATAAAAGCGTTATATACAGGCTTCTGTTAATTTCTGAATCTGATTTGCTGGCACTGATGCTTCCTATTAGGTGATAATTTGCATTCGCACTGGGCATTAAATCAGAATGAAGACAGGGTATAAAAATGGTGTTTCCGCTATTTTCCGTTATGTGAGCGATTTTAGATGATTAAAAGGCAATAAAACTGATGCTTTAGCTTAAGAGCCACGGTAAAATAAACCAGATTATTCATTGCGAAAAGTTCGTCTTTCCAGTTTTATTCTAACATTGAAAGGATGTTTTCAGGTATTTTATCGAAAGTGATATCTATTTGACGTTAATCTGTACGTCGATCACATATGGCGCACAATATGTTGCAACATATGTGCACCTTGTTCGATTGTGTAACACGTATTTTTTTCGAGTTGTGTTGTACTTTTCAAAACCGCCATAGGAACAATGACGAATACGCTACATGAAAAATACGGGAAATGGGCAAAAATTTTGCTGTTATCTTAGACCTACGAGTAAGAGCTTTATCGTTCATTTATTTTGTAGTATTACATCAAACGCAATTAATCGACAAACGTATTGATCACATATGGCGCGTGTGAAGGAAGGAGAGAACACAAACCAAGCCAGTGAAGTGTCCTTAGCGATAAACAACCACGCGTAGCACTATCAACGAGACCCCAGAGGATCAGTAACAGGATCGGATGACATGATTCATACTATGCCATGGGAAATACAGCCAATCAGATTGCAGGAAAGCCGTAGAAATTTCGTAAGTATTATACCTGACCTTTCCATCGTGCTCAGGGATCTCATTCCTTCCGAAATTTACTAAGCAGGTTTCCTTCAAGGAGCCTTATTTCACTTGTATTCTTTATATTTTGTGCTATAAATGTTTAGAATGCGTTACGTCGACAAAATCCTAGAGGATAGGAAGTCTACTCGCATGTCACATTAGTTAGCCACTAAATTGTTCTTCGTATTAAATAACAGTCACTGTATATCATACTCACTTGTTAGTTATAGTTACTGGGGAATATTCTTTACATACATTTCTTTGTCTCTCAAGGCCCTAGGAAACCCCTTGGTTTCTACGTCTGGTGGGAAATTTTTCTTTTAGGTTGTATTAATACTGTTTCACGCACCTGCTGCCGGAACACCTGAACAAAAGAAACATTATGCACAAAAAGTCATTTTCAACTGTTTAGACTAACTTATGTCCCACTCGTGCATATCCAGCTTTGTGCCAGGAAATAGTTATTTTGCAAGGTCTTCTTTTTTGAGTTTCAGCAAAACAGGAAACAGAAAAATTTAGGATTATTAGGTGTTTATCATTTTGCTGAAGTATTTCTCCTCTAAGGCGGGGGTTTTCTGATTGCATTTTCATTTTCGCCTGCCCTAGAACATTGGTCCAATTCAATATCGAGAAGCTTACAGACAATTTTGTTCTACATGAGCCACTAGTATAATCATTAGGAAAAAGGCGACTTTCACGATTCACTGCTTTAACTAAACTGAATTTTTTAAGTTCAGTGAGTCTAGTAAGTTTTAATTTGTAGAGTAACAATACTTTTGAAAAGCGGTCTCGAACTTTGAGCCCTTTTATCTAAATTCAGTTTTTCAGCTTTCTCTCGCAGTGAAATCGACGGATTATTCTTAACGAAGTTAGGAACATGTTTGCAGCTTTTAAAACAGTAAAAATCAAGGTGCATTGTGCTGTTAGATATATTTAAAATAACGAGTGTCACAATTATGTACAAACCGGAAGCCGAAACCCTCTCGCCAGGGGTAAATTGAATCATAACAAAACCGTTGAACAATTTAAATGTTTGACGCAGATAATTAGAGACACATTTGCAAAACCAGTCAGGGTATTTTTAAGATTTAACGTCTGTCAAGTATCGACGGGCACATCCGGCACATAACCAAATTTCTTGAATTTACCTCTTTTTTATCATTTCACGACGACAGCAAAACAACATAGCAGGCGGGATAAACTTTCTGAAACTCAAATGTAAGTAAGTTCTGTTACTCAGTGTTTTTCTAGTATCAAGGATGAAATTAAAATAGTATTCTTACTGACGAAAGATTTGAAACTTTCTATGACGTGAAAAATTAAACAACCCCATATCAGTTTGAAAACTACTTCGGAAGCCATTACACGAAATCATTTGTTTATGATACCGGTTATAATACCACCCATATTTTTGTGAGAAAAAGTTTGTCATATATTGGGATGTGCCTACACGTGAATATGATTCACGTGTTTCTGGCTAAAACGTACTGTGACTAAGGAAAACTGGAACTCTCGCGTTGCACAAGAATCGATACCAAATGAAATTAGGCTTACACCAGAATCTTGACCCGCTTCTCAGCCTATCTTTTTTAGCTGTGGTAACACCGCAGGATGCAGCGTATCGTATCAAAATGCTCTGGTAGCTCCGGGGGTCTTTCATTTAAGCTCATGTGCTTTCTAAGAGAGTACGGTCTTATACAGTTGCCTTTCAACTCCAAATGAATAATGGAGAGAGAGGAGTTACCAAATATTTCTACGAGCTGAAGTTGCCAATGAATTTTAGCACTTTGTATTTTGCTATTCGTTATTGCATCAGCGGACTGAAAACTATATGCTCCACGGCTTCATAACGCCACACATCCATATGCAGCTTCCTAAGTCTAGAATTTCGTTGTTGAGACAATTCTCAGATTCAAATACTTATGCCTCCAAATTGATAGACTGTTTACATAATATGTTGACTTCACTTAGACAAGGTGGTGCATTCGCAAACCAAGTAGAATTTTCCGAGGCCAGGTCTGAAAACGGATACGGATTTTAGAGGCCGGGTCTGAAAATGGTTTTCCAGGCTTTGGCCCCACGCACATAAATATGTAACTAACAAGCGTTGATTGAGTAAAAGGGGGAAGAAGAAAAACTGTCTTCGATTGTATTCGCCGCAAATAATGGAAAGAAAATCGTTCCTCTCAGTATCATGGAGTGGGTCACTCACTTGTAAAACGGCTTAAAAAACAAGAGGAAGAGAAACTGGAGAGGTCAGAGTATTTGCGAGGTTTCTGAAATATATTTGAGAGAGCATCGTCCTAGCACATGCTACAGATATTAGGCTTTGCCTCAAATCACGTGTCTTTTTGAAAACATGTGTTTCTTCATTCGCTTGGACTGTGCAAACCTGCGCAAACCTGTTTACCTTGAAAGTCGAGACCCTGTTTAATTCATGTCGCAATGCATGCGTTTTAACACTGATCTCCAATTTCGTCACTCACGGTGTCTAATTTCATTTCTTATATAGTCCATTGTATTTCACACGGACTTTCTCTTTTAGTGGGGGGGAAGGGGGTACTGATAATATTGTGTTGGAGGTTTCCGCCATTTCCCTTGTTAATTGTCCTCAGCGTCGTTATTCCAGGCTACAATCGTTTAAATGCGAAACCCGTCATTGCACACGGGTGCTCGAAGGCTATGGCGAAATATCAAACTTGTTTCAAAGGTTTTAAAAAGAAAACTTGTCAGTGCGATGATTTTAGAATAGATATTTCGGTTTACCAGAATTAGATTCCTTTTTGATGCCGATCATTAAAGGTGCTTTCTTTCCGAAAGAAACCCAGCATCTCGCTTTTGAGATAATCTGATGATTGAATGCGAACCTCGATTTACATTAGTTATGAGAAAAATTGAAGATTTCCATAAATTATGTCATGACTCTTCATCTAGGTCTGCAGCTATTGATAATAAACATCTCAAACATGTTTTGGAGAGAAATGTTGTGGTATCATTTGGTTTCTTTATTAGCCGCCCAAAACACTTAAATTGCTATATCTTGCTTTTGCGTTAGCATTTCTCGTAATAGCATTCAATTTTCCGTGAGCCCCCGACTTCAGTCACGTCGAAGACTTCTTCCGAGTCAACATTTAAAGTAAATTACAAAGAAAACAAATCGGTTTACCTCAAGCAGGCGGGTATGCTTTTTAATCACTGCGTGTCTCAATGATTGTATGTATACTTCCTATAGTTCTTCGTGAAAACACCTTAAGTAAAAGGAAAATTGAATCGTACATTTTTCCTCGAGGAGACAGAAAAAACCTTTTACATAAGCAAAGTAGTTTGTTGCGGCGTTGACGATCTCAGTAGCAAGTAAACAAATCTGAATTGATATGGTGATTTCCCTCTCCAGCCTTTCTTACAATAGATCAGTATTTTGGGCTATCTTATAGTAAACGACCATAATTCCATGGCCATGTCCTTTAGTATGTTTCTTTTTTGACTTATCTATCAATCGAATTTACAAAACACTTGATAATCACGGCAGACAGCAGACAGCAGACGGCAGACGGCAGACGGCAAAACTTTGAAATTCTTGTTGTTTTCCTTCTAGCGGAGGTGTCTGGTTAGTTTCCAATTTTTTCGATCCAAGACTACTGAATTATTTTAAAAGCAACATTTTTGATCGCAAAGTACTTCGCAGTGCTACAGTGTTTGTAGAATGATGATTTGTTTAAGTTTTCAACCGATGTGTGGAGAACAAAGTCTTTAGTTATGAACGTTTAACGACAGCTTTATTTTCAGTATTACTTGAGTAGTGTTCATTACTGCGAATTCACTTCTTATCCGCAGTTCACATGTATGATTTTCATGTATTAACAGTCAGAATAATTTATGTTCGGTATTGGTCTTGCCTCTCTGCTGAACATTTCTCCTTCGGCGCCTACGGTACAATTTGATTTCAAATGGCTTTGTTTTCCTGTACATTCATCGTAATGAGGAGTAATGTATTGTAAATTTACGTTTGCCATGTAGAAGTTATTCCTCTACATACATTA